CGGCTGCTCGGCGGGCGGCGGCGGCGGGCCGGGCGCGGCCGTGGCGGGGTCGCTGCGGTTGTAGTCCATGCACAGCGTGTCGGGGCTGCCCTGCTCCGGCAGTCGGTCGCAGCGCATGCGGTCGGGCCAGGCGAAGCCGTACTGGCGCATGAGCGGCGCGCAGCCGGCCTTGGCGCGCTCGCACACGGCGCGGCAGGGCGGCAGCGGCTTCTTGTAGTCCTCCAGGCAGATGGGCGTGTACATGGAGCACAGGAAGAACTTGAGGTCCGGCGAGCACTGGATCTCCACGAGCGGCCAGAACTGGTGCACCTCCAGGCCCGCCTCGTCCTGCGTGTCGTGGTTGAACTGGTTGGGCATGTAGGTGTAGTTGTAGCCGACGCCGCGGCACAGCGGCACGGTGATCTCCTGGCACGCCAGCTCCTTGGCCGAGGCGGCCGCCGCGCCGCGGGAGCGCTGCAGCAGCGCGAGGGCGGCCAGCAGCGAGGTCACCTCCAGCAGCGAGCTCCACTCCATGCTGCGCGCGCGGGGGTCCCGGCGGGAAGGGCGGGTGGGTGGGGGCCCGCGCCCTAGGCTCGCGCTCAGCCCCGGCTCATCGCCCGCGAGCCCGGCCCCCGCCCGCCGCGGACCGACCCCGACTCCGCCGCCGCTGCCGCGAGTTTCCTTCGGGCTGCGGCGCCTCAGCCCTCGCGGGCCAGCTCAGCACCTGGGAGGAGGCTCATGCCCACCCCGAGGCCGCGCCGCCTCTGCCGAGTTCGGGGCCTCTTCCTCCGGGCCTGTCCGCCGGCCGTGGCGCACGGTACAGCCCCTTCTCGCAAGCGCCCGGGAACAAATCCAGACTCGGAGGCGCGGACCCCGGTGCCCGGTAGCACTGCTAGAACTGTACCCCGCGCCCAACTTCTCGGCTGCAGCCCGCGAGGGCCCCGGCCGGCTCATGAATATTTATACACCTGGGCCCGGGCTCCGCCCCCGTCCCGGCGCGCCAATCACCGGGCGACCTGCTTATGAATATTTATACACCCGGGACCGGGGCACCGCCCCGGCACAGGATCGCCAATCACCGGCGGCGGGGCGGAGCCCTCGCGCCCTGGGCGCCTGGGTCCTTAAGGAAGTCCGCGCGGCCCCGGGAGCCTGCCGTACTCCGGGAGTTTGATCATTTGGGACGGAGTGTGAGACCGTGGGCCCCACGAGCCCCAGGGCGCCCGAGATCTGGTCCCGTTTCCCCGAGTCTGCGCTCGGGGACTAGAACGGGGTTGTATCATAGCTTGCGCCTCACCAGTCCGTCTCAAACCAGCCAAGACCCCGCCTCCTGCTGGCCACGAGTGGGGGACCTGTTGGCGGGCCTCGGGCCGAGGGGAGGGGAGACTGGTCGGGGGGGCTGGCAAGGACTCCAGGGGGATCCCCTGCGGTGTGGGAACGAGGAGCTCCGGGGTCCCTTCTGGCCTCACTGCTGACCGGGGAGCTCCGGTTTCCTTTCCTAGAAAGTGGGGCGGTCACAGCTCTGGACTCTGGATAAGTGGGGGAAAGCAAACGTACACCGCCGCTGGACCCAGTGCTTTCCTTCAGAAGAGAATTCCATACTTCCTTTGAAAACAAAACGAAAACTTGTAAACGGGACTGGGAGGGCACTTTCGGGCGCAGTCCTCGGCCCAAAGTCCCCGGCGGACCAGAGCCCCCTTTCCTCCCGGGAGGCGACGCCGCGCCGGGGTGCACTGATGCGTCCGGAGGTGGCCGGAGCCGCGCGCGTCCCCGGGGCGCCCCAGCCACGCGCGCGCCCCGCTTCCGCCTGGGGAAGGGGGGTGGCGGAGGCCCGGCGGCCTGGCAGGTTCATTTACGCTTGTTAGGACGTCCCGGGGGGTTGTCTTTCTCCCAGAACGGAGTGTTTATTTTTTAATTGATGTGCTGTTTCATTTAGCGCTTGTATGGAACTCATGCTGGGGCTGTAATTACTGTAATCTCGGGAACAAGCGTTTCCGTGAGCCAGGAGGGTGGCACCAGCCTCCCCCTCTCCCTCCTCTGTCCCCCCCCCCCCGCTCTAGCCCCTCCGCCCTCCTTTCTCTCACTCTCTTTTTCTCTTTCGGTTCCCTGATTTTTGCTCTTTGTCACGATTCACGCCAGGAACAAGTAGAAGCAGAGAACACAAGCTGCCAGGGCGTGGGGACAGAGAGGTCAGTTCAGGGGTTTTGCTGCCCTTAGCAGCGGCTGTTTAAAAACAACTCTTGTAGCAAAACAAAATTAGCCAGCAGGTCGGCCGGCTGCGGGAGCTGGTGGGCTCTGTCTTCCGCCTCCGTCCGCGTCCTGTCCGACCGGGAGCAGCCTCCTCCCGAGCCGCTCCGTGGGCGCAGAGCAGACAACTCCGCCGCAGCTCCGCGCTACTTCTGTGTTTTCGCCCTTCGTTCCAGGCCAGGGCCCCGCGTCCTAGTCACACCCGACATCCTGGCTTTTTATTTTTAAATGGCAACCTAGTTAGGACCTCTTTATACTGAAAGCAACACTTCTGACTTTTGTTTTGGAAAAACTTAACTCCATAGGAACCCGAAATTCAAAGCTGCGGAAATATTAGCCAAATCGGGAGAAAACACACCCTTAGGAAATGCGGATTCGACCTTGACTTTTTTTTTTTTTTAAATCAATCTTCCTCTGTATCGGAATTTCCCTTTGTGGTGTGCTGGAGGCAGCGTCACCGATCTCTTCAGGGGGAACCTTGCTCTGGTGGGCTAATCCCCGGCCCACTCAGCTGCACCTGGGAGTCGAGGGTTCACGACAGCCCCGTGACGCAGACTCCCCCGTGCGACCCACACCCCCCGCGCCCCCCACCCCATTCCCTCAGGCCGGAGACCACGAGGGGAGGAGCGAGTTTCCAAAAGCAACACCTCCGGCCAGTTTCTACTGCCTGTCTCCAGCAGGAAAATGGCAAATAGTGAAGTTTAGAATTACACTATATAAATTTACTAGAATTAGGCAGAGACAAGCTGACATTTGAAAATTGATGCTGAAAATAGTTGATTTTGGCATTGTGGTTTCATTTTTTTTCTTTTGAGACAAGATGAAAAGTTTGATGATGTGGAACTTGGAAATTTTTGGTAAGCTTGCATGAAAAAACAGGCAGACAAAAAGTTCAGACATTTAAATATCAGGCTATTTGCAGGACATTACTGATTTGTGATATTAAAACCACTTACATAAAAATCATGAGGGATTTACTCTTGAGAAAATGTAGCAAACATTTTTAAATTAGACAGCTCTACTTGACAGTCTTTCAGAAAAGAGAATTATAAAACCAATCAGTGTCAATGATAGGTCAGCTAAAAGAAACCATACCATTAGTCTATGTTGCCAGATAAATAATGACGTTTTCTTTGTATTTAGTAAAGCAGTTATATTTTAGGGGGGAATAGTTTTAGTGGCATAAATAACAGGAAAGCTACAGAGATTTCTGAAGACTTGTTACTGAATGGCATATAAGCATAATACTGTTTGTATTAGCTTTCCAATACTATCATAGCAAATACATGAGATAATTAATTTATAAAGAGGAAAGGTTGGTTTTGGCTGGCAGGCTTAGAGTTCCTGTCCATGTTGGTTTGCCTCATTGCTTGTGGTCCTGTGGTGAGACAGCTTAGCATAGTGGGGAGTGCGTAGTAGAGCAAAGCTTATTGCCTCACTGCTGGAACACAAGAAAGAGAAATGGCTGGGGTCCTACATCCCCTTTCAGGGCACGTCCCAATGACCTAACTTCCTTCCACCAGGCTCTGCCTCTTAAAGGTTCCACCACCTCCAGATAGCATCACAGGATGGGGACCATCCTTTAAACAGACCTCCAGGGAATGCTGTAGACCCAAATGACAGCACAGTTGAAGGCATGGATCCATGTCAGAGAAAGGAAGGTTTTGCTGGGCACTGAATACCAAGTTAGACAGGAGACTATCAATACAGCTAGCATCTGTCTGAAATTTAGGAAATGTTGAGAAAATTATGTGGTTTTTTTGTACCAGGGATCGAACTCAGGACCTTGTGCTTTCGAGGCAGGCGCAGCACCACTGAGCTAAATGTCTGGCCCCAACCTGAGAATCTTGATACATGAGAGGACGTAACATATACTAATCAAATTATATGCTTCAAAGATGATGACATGGGGAACTATTTGTAACTCATTAAATGCCTCAGTATTATATTAAACAGTGGTATTTCTAAAAGCTTGTTTTTCTTTCAGGTAAATAGTGAAATACTGTTATAGAGACTATACTATATTATTATTATTATTTTTTGGTACCGGGCATCAAACTCAGGTCCTTACGCTTGCACAGCAGGTGATGAAACCACTGAGCTAAATACCCGGCCCAATATTATAGAGAGCATTGCAGTATCAGATAATGTTGGGGTATCTTGGCATTTTTAAAATCTGTCTTTCACAGGATGATGTCTTCAATCCATAAATGGAAGAAGATTTAGGGGTTAACTGGTCTTCTATTTCTAGTAGAATTAATACGAGTGCTGTAGTCTGGATCTTGAATATCCCAACAACCCATGTGTTGAAGGCTTGGTTTCCAGCCCCTAGCACTATTGGAAGGTGCTGGAACTGAGAGGGTATGGGAACTGGTGGAAGGATGTCAAGTCATTGGGGGCATGCTTAGAACGGGAGAGGAGGGCCTCTGTACTTCCTTTTCCTCTCTCTGTGCTCTCTGGCTGTGGTAGGTCGAGCAGCTTTTCTTTAACACACACTCTCCACCATGATACGCTGCCTCACTGCAGGCCCAAAGCAACAGAGCCAGATAATCATGGACCCAGAACCTCTGAAACTGTAAGTGAAGATAAATGTTTCTTCTTTTAGACTTGATTGTCTCTAATTGTTATAGTAACAGAAAGCTGACTAACAGTGGTTGAGATTATTTTCATCTTATTCCATACTAACAGTGAACTCTGTTAAAGATCTTCCTCCTCTACTTTCTGGCCCATCAAGAGAAGGATCCTGTAGGAGGGACATACATGGCTCTGTCTGCTGAAACAAGGCCAGCATGCAAGTGAGTGGAAATAATGAGGTACCTACCATGTGCCACTGTTTTGAAATCAGATGCTCGTGTTATAGCAGGCGCCATTTTGGAAAATGGAAACTGCATTGTCACCAGGTAACTTTATTTTAAAATGTGTCCTAAAAACCAGTCATTGTGTTTTTTTTTCTCATTTACATTGGAATAGTGACACTCTTAGGGATGCATTATGCATTAGTTTAGGAGATTTGGGATGCAATAAAGACCTTCAAGTAAAACTGGCTTAGCCAAGAGGACACCTTGTTTCATGAAAACTAGAAACAAGAAATTCACCTTTGGTTCCTTTTGCCACTCACAGGTCAGCTTGCAGCCCCTTGCTTCCTTGGTGGGTCCATGGTGCTTTTTTGTTATGGAACCATCATGTACAGAGGAACAGCAGCCAAGGCAAGAGAACAGAATCCCCCACCCCTTTTAGAAAAGAAGGCCTCTCCTGAAGGCCCTTGGTTAACTGCCCCTCAGAGCGCACTGGCCTGAACCTCCCCTGTGGCCTCCCTGAACTGTAAGAGACGCTGGAAAAGTGAAGATCTGATAAGTAGCTTGAGACATGGGGCTCTGGTGACAAGGAAGGGAGCATGGGGACAACCCACAGTTTGGCTATATATTACTGTGTGCAAGAAATGAACTTGCAAGCAATATCATTGGTTAGCGTGCCCAATCTTTAAGCATTATTTTGTTCTGGGTTAGGAATTAAGTGTAATCTCAATCCAAGAAAATCTTCTTTGCCCTTGGTACTGAGGATGCAACCCAAGAAGCACAGGCTACATCCTCTGCTCCACCTCACTTTTAAATTTTATTTTGAGACAGGGTCTTGCTAAATTGCTCAGGTTGGCCTTGAACTTGTGACCCTCCTGCCTCAGGCTCGAGAGTTGCTGAGGTTATAGGAATGTGTCCCTGGCAGATCCAAGAAAATCTTGGTATTTACATATTTTTCCTTTTGAAGTTTATACAGTAGAGTTTACTGTACAGGTAGTGAGAAAGAAACGTCACTTTCCTATGTGTTTTATTTATAAGGTGTATAAACTGTACTGTAGTCTAATTCCTTAGTTCCTTTTCTTTAAGCTTTCTCCCATTCTTCTTTTTGAAGCTTCAATAAAAACATAGCCACTTCTAGAATTTTAGTTTGATTTTTTCTTTTTATGTCCCCTATTATGTAAGTTTTTGTATTTATAAAATTAAATATAATGCAGGAGAAGCTGTATTGAATCCCACCTCTAAACTGCATGTGAAAGAACCTTTAAATCTGAATAAATATTGATTCAGGAAAAGTTTACTTCTGGTAGCAATGATCCATTTCAAATGGAGTAATAAATAAATTTGAATAATAAACTTTTATATCAGTAATACAAGTAATACATAATAGGTCACTAAGGACATGCAGATAACAATGGCACTTCTATTTTATTCAGGTAAAAAGGTATAATTTCTTCCGGAGGTGACTATGCTGGACTGTATTTCCCAGGATGAGTCTTGCATGTCTAGAAGCAAGTTTACTTCTATAGTGTAACCTTATAGTTTATTCTATACAAGTATTATTTGTTATATACATTTCATGGGGTTTATAAAAATATACATTATATTACAATACTTTATAAAGATAAAATAAGAAAAATTGATGCATTAACATGTTGAGTTATTGAGATAATATCACAACATAATTATGACTCTTGGCATACTTCCTTGAAACCTAGTCCAGTAGGGTGTAGTTTGAAAAATTCTTGTCTGAATTGCATTCATAATATGCTGCAAATATAAAGAAGAAGCAGGATATAAAACTATATAACTGGTGTGGGTCCTGCTATACTAATAAATACTTATAGAAAAACAGACTAGAAAGATATTTCTAAATCTTTAAAATAGTATCCATCATTGTGTTTGCAGGAATACATTAAGCAGGAATAATTTTTCTTGCTTTTTAAAAATAATGGTATAGTTTTATACTTAGGAAAATAATCTTGAAACAATCCGGGACTTAGTACTCATTCTGCTATTTTGTGCATTTTCTTCTTATATATATCAAAATTGCCAAAGACCAAAGACTGTCTTAGATACCTTTTCCTCACTAGGTATGGTCAAGTGTTATTTAACTGATTCACAGGTCGACTCCTTGTCCTTACCTTGGGTGATTTCTCTAATCCCAGCTCCCCAGGGCTGTGGTTTTGAAAAAGATGAGGAAGTGGAAAGGAGGAGGAATGTTTGTTATTGGAGTTGGCGGCCGTAGAATTGGTCTTAGTAGAACTCTCTGTGGTGTCAACTCTGAGTATTCACGGCACAAGATCCAGTTCTGCCTGGGGCTGCCTGGCCCATGGCCCATGACATTAGGCCATCCCCATATTGACATAACAAACTGCATGAGCACTTCCTTCAGCTGTTACAGGCAAGGTAAAAGTGACCGAAGAAGACTTTTGGTGATGTAGAGAAGAGGTCAGCCTTGGGGAATCCAGCACTGTTCTGCATTACCCATGTGGATAAGTAACATACGTACAACCTCTTGTACTTAAAGTGTGGCATGGCTAATGGAAGGGTCCCATGTGGGGTGTGAGAGTTAGGGGAGGTCAAAGATGAAAGGCACCAATCACAATGCCTGGACTATGATAGGTGAATTGAGGGACACTATAGTTTACTCTTAATGCACAGAATGATAGGAAATGGATCTCTGGCCGTAAAAACTACCACTGGATGAAGTTATCATGATTTTTTTCCTCTTTTTTTAGTGGCAGGGATTCTCTTTTATGACTCATTCATAAATTCAATGTTTATTTAGCAGAAACTCTTCTGATTACTATTGTTGCATAACAATGACCCAAGACTTGGTGGTTTAACACAGTGATTTTATTTTGGGGGTCAAGAATTTCAGACAGGCTGGTCTAGGCAGATCTTGCCTGGCACCTTCCCTGCATTGCAGTGAAATGTCCACAGTATTGTCCTTGAGGATTGATGCAGCCACACCATGAAGGCAGCACACTCATGCAGAGCATCCTCCTGTGTCCTTTCTCATAGACAGCAGGAGGTGAATGGATTGCTAGTGCAGTCAGGCAGTCCTCAGAGTGAGCCAGATGAAGAGCAGGACCCTTTCATGACAGCCTTGGGTTCACTCAGTAGATGTGACACTGCTGTACGCTCTGTTTGCTGAAGCCATCTCAGCCTGCTCGGATTTGAGGGAGGTAGCATGAAACTACCTCAAAACAGAAGGGATGTCAAATATTTTGGGGGCTATATTTTAAAACTGCCTCACCAACCACATGTCAGGCTCTTGAGTTAAGTGTTAGATGGACCAGATAGTGTGTCTTTTTCACGGAACTCAATTGGGATGCTCACAGATACATAGTTACAATGCTGTCCAGTAGACATTTACAAAGCACAGAGAAAATCTATTAGGCAATAAGTAAGCTTTCTTCAAGAGCTAGGGAAGGGATTTGTTAGCTTGAGACCAGGAGGGTTCCAGGCTGTGCACAGAACACTTAGACAAAATTGCCTTTACATTTGCTGTTCATGAAACATCAAGAAATTTCCTTGAGCAGAAACATTTTTATTTGTAGCCTACCAGTCGATACAATTTGTAACCTGAATATGTTACATTTGGAGCTGCTGAGTTGAGGGTCAGGGACCCGGTTTTCAGCCTTTCCTAACACAAATAGACTGCAGAGGCCCAGAGAGTTCTCACCTCACGTTTCCCTGGGTCTGGGGGCTGAATCTACAGCTGTACAGGTTGCCAAGAGCGAAGTGCTCCCCCTCTTTCTGTCTGTCCGCCTCAGTGTGTTGTTTTAGTTCCCTCATGGTTCCACGGTGACTGATGAAAACTCATGTCTTCACAGGCTGATGCCAGGGAGGAAGTGGGGTGTTGTCCCGTGCTTCCTGTTAAGTGTCACAAAGGCTTTTCTGGACCTGACTTCCTCTCACTTTTCATGGGTCAGCATTGAGTGACATCAGTGAGCCCTGGCCTGGGCTGAGCAAACTTGAACAAAATCAAGCTTTGCCGAAAGACCAGGTTAGTGGACTGGCTTTCCGTAGGTGACCAGGGTGTCTACTCAAACCTTAAGGCCTCTAATGCCTTGGAGAGGAGCCCAACATCTCTCTTGGGATCTAACTTCTGCTCTTCGTGGTCAGATGCTTAACAAAAACTCATCTGCCCTAGCTTGCGTTATGAGAACAAGGCCTTTCTCTTCTTTTCCCCATAACCTCACGCAGGTGGAGTCTATTAATAAGATGACAGCTGTTTCTTTTACCTGAGCAGTGTGTTTTGCTGAAGAACATAGTCCTGCTTTAGAAATTCTGTTGGCTGTTGGCCTCTAGGCCCGGCCAGGGTGGAGAACAACCTGGGTGGTTTGTAGTGTTTGCTCATGTTCCTGTCTCCCTGCAAGCTCCCGGAGGGGTAATTACTTGCAGGAACACCTTCCTAAACAGCCAGGAAGCGGAGCTGTGAAGGAGTGCCAGAGATGAAAATTTATTCCTCACCTGTGTGTTTTCCAGAGTCTCATAGGGTTGAGGAATAAATAGCTTCCAATCACCTGCCGAGAACATAGAATCCAGGGGAAGCATATGGTGTTTTAGTCTGTGGATAAATCCAATTCCCTACAGCTAATGTCCTCCAAACAAACCAATTTCTAAAGAACGATGCCCCGTGAGGGGACTGAGATTCATTTGTTCTTTATCTTTCCTCTAGCACTTCGTCTCTTTAGTCCATTTTGCTTTCTGAGCCTTATTCCTATTTTTTTTTTTTTTTTTGCATCATTCTCTGTTCTCAGGAAAATATTTGTGGCACAATAACTGGGCATCCTGTTCTGCATTTGGCAGTTGCCTTTCTTCTGTAGGTGCTAGTTTGGGAGAATTTGTGGGGTCTCAATGGCCTGCTTTTAATAGAATGGGAAACCTGGTCCTGTTGGCACAGGATTCTGTCAGGAGATTCCTCTGTCCTACCCAAGGTGAACGGTCTTACCTAAGTGGCCTTTTATAATTACACAATGATTTGCTCTCAC